AGAATTGGTCAATGTTCATCCATTTCAGGAGGTGACATATAATCAAGAACCAAAGGTATTGAAGGAAGAAATAGAAGCTGCACTGAAGGAACTGGTGAAGAACAAGGCTCCAGGAATTCATGGATTACCCATTGAGATGTTTCAACAAACGGATGCCCCACTGGAAGCAATCAGTTGGCTATGCCAAGAAATTTGTAAGACAGCTACCTGGGCACCTGACTGGAAGACATCCGTATTTGTACCCATTCCAAAGAAAGGTGATCCCACAGAATGGGGAAATTATCAAACAATATCATTAATATCAATCACATGCAAGTAAAATCTTACTGAAGATAATCCAAAAACAGTTACAGCAGTATATTGACAGAGAGCTTCAAGAAATGTAACCTGGATTCAGAAGAGGATGTGGAATGAGGGATATCATTGCTGATGTCAGCTGGATCTTACCTGAAAGCAAAGAATACCAGAAAGATGTTTACTTATGTTTTATTGACCATGCAAAAGCATTTGATTGTGTGGATCACAAGGAATTACAGATAACATTGAGAAGGATTAGAATTCCAGAACACTTGATTGTACTCATTAGGAACCTGTACATAGATCAGGAGGCTCTCATTCGAACAGAACAAGGGGATACTGCATGGTTCTAGATTAAGAAGGGAGTATGTCAAGGTTATATCTTTTCCTTTCTTTCTTTTTTTTTTTTTTTTTTAAGGTTATATCTTTTCACCATACTTATTGAACTTGTATGCTGAGCAAATAATCTGAGAAGCTGGAATATATGAAAAATGTGGCATTAGGATTGGAGGAAGACTCTTTAACAAGCTGTGATATGCAGAGGGCACAACTTTGCTTGCTGAAAGTGAAGATGACTTGAAGTACTTACTGATGAAGATTAAAGACTACAGTCTGCAATAAGAATTAAAAAAAAAAAAAAAAAACCTCACTGCCATCAAGATGGATCTGACTCATAGCCACCCCTTCTTAGGTTTCTGAGGTGCTATCACTACAGAAGTAGATTGCCCAAGCTTCCTTCCAAGGAGTGGCTGGTGGGTTTGAACCACCAGTCTACTAGTTAGTAGTCAAATGTCTTAGGCACTACGTCCCAAAGCTCCTGGTGGTGTACCAATATGGATTACACCTCAAGATAAAGAAAACAAAAATCCTCACAACAAGTCCAATAAACAGCTTCAGAGTAAATGGAGAAAAGATTGACGTTGTCAAGGACTTCACATTACTTGGTTCTACAATCAATACCAACGGAAGCAGGAGTCAAGACATCAGATGATGTATTGCATTGGGCAAATCTGCTGCAAAGAAACTTTTCCAAGTGATGAAGAGCAAAGATGTCTCCTTGGAGACAAAGGTGCACCTAACCCAAGCCATGGTACTTTCAATCACCTCTTTGCATGGGAGAGCTGGACAATGAATAAGGAAGACCAAAGAAGAGTTGATGCTTTTGAGTTGTGGTGTTGGAGAAGAATGCTAAGAGTACCATGGTCTACTAAAAGGACTAACAAATCTGTCCTAGAAGAAGTGTAGCTGGAATGCTCCTTGGAAATGAGAATGGCCAGACTTCATCTCACCTACTTTGATCTTGTAGTCAGAAGGAACCATTCACTGGAGAAGGATATCATGCTTGGTAAAGTGGAGGGTTAATGAAGAAGGAGAAGGTCCTCAAGGAGATGCACTGACACAGTGGCTGCAATGATGTGCTCAGGTATAGCAAGCATTGTGAAGCTGGCACAAGACAGGGCAGCGTTTTGTTCTGCTATGCATAGGGCCTCAATGAGTCAGAGATGAGTTGATGGCACCTAATAACAACCTGTAACATAGCCTGCACTCCATGAATATCAGCATTCTGGTTAAGTAGTGCCACTCTGACTAGAATATACCACAATGGATAGATGGGTGGACAGGCTGAACTATTAGGTATGTCTATGAAGCAGGGAATGTACCCAAGACCATGTATAGGGTTGGCAGACAATGGTCCTATAAATGTGTTTGTATAATCTGTAAGAATTCCCATGTGTATAGTAGAGCTGACAAGTGACAAGATTGTAGTCACTTGTTGGTCACAGCCAGCTACCCAAAGGGACTGAGTAGTTGAACTGGTGGGCTCAGGACCATATCCCAGGGGACATCAAGCTCAGTTGGGATAACATACTACACAAAACATTGTTCCACCTCCTACTTTGGCGAGTAGCAACTGGGATCTTAAAAGCTTGTAAGTAGCCATCTAGATGCCACGATGGGTTTCTCCTTTTCCAGGGCAAAGAATGAAGAAAACCAGATTTATGGAAACAATTAGTCCCAGCAACTGGTACACCATGTGATCCGCAGCCTGTACACTATGAGACCAGAAGAACTAGATGGTGCCTGGCTACCACTGTCAACCACTCAGAGGGGGGATCTATGTAGGAGGTCCTGGATAGAGAGGGAGAGCAATGTGGAA